TTATTCCTCTCTCTCTCTCCCTCTCTCCCTCCTGCAGGTGGAGTTCCATCTCTGATTGCTGGGCTTTCTGTTGGACTTTTGGCTGGCTATGGAGCTTACCGTGTCTCCAATGACAAACGGGATATCAAAGTGTCACTGTGTAAGTGAAATCTTGTCCCCAGTTACAGAGGATCAACCTGGAAGATGCCCCCTGCATGTTCTATACCAGGCTCAATAGGAAATGAACTGTCGAAGTTAAGTGTCTGTGAGTCCATGTCCAGACTGAACATAACTCTTTTTCCTTTTTAGACAGAACTGATTAGAAATAATAGAACTCCCAGCCTTCCTCTACCTCATGTTTTTATAACACTTGCTACTGGAACCTAAGGCAGAAAAGGCATTGGGATTATGACCAGATTTTCTTGTAGGTTTCCTAGGTGTACATTTAATATGGTTTTCAAGTTGCTATGAAAATACCTTTAGATAGCCTTACATCATCATCATGTTCAGAGCACAGAAAGCTTCTGTGTACAGCTGTGCCTTAGACTGTCTATGAGGACAAAGCTGGCTTCCTTCTACCTTCTTTTCTCCTGTCTTTAGTAAGAACATGCCTGTTGGTTAGCTCCACCCAACCCCCAAGGTACTTGGTTTTTAGTATTGCTAATAGCAAGCATTGATAGTGTTTGAAATTCTACTTCATGGTGTTTGTTTCAGTTACAGCTTTCTTCCTGGCCACCATAATGGGTGTGAGATTTAAGAGGTCCAAGAAAGTAATGCCTGCTGGTTTGGTTGCAGGCTTAAGGTAAGAGCCATTCTGATCTATGCTTTCCTGTGCCAGCATTTCCGAGTGGTGGCAGTCTATGGCAGTACCACCCTGAATAGTACCATTCAGTCTTGCCAAAGCTCTGGCAAATTTTTGTGAAGAATTGATTTTCATGGGTCCTGAGACAAGGCTCACTTTCTACTCTTGCAGAGGATCAGGCTTGTCTGGCAGCCATCTGTAACTTCAGTTCCAACAGATGCAACACTCTCTTTTGGCTTCTGTGAGCACGGGGGACATAAATATGAGCACACAGGCAAAACATTATTACACAAATAAAAACAACTTAATATTGTTTTTAAAAAGGAATTCATTTTTGTGCTAGAGAGGAAGACCAGCTGTCACAAGATCATTTGCTACTTTCCGTTTGGAACTGCGTTGGGTTCCCAGAGCCCACATCAGGTGGCTCACAATCACCTGTACATTCAGTTCCAGAGATTCTGGCAATGTCTTCTGAACTCTGCAGGCACCCACACATGTATACATACATGTACTCAGACACACATATACATATACACACACTAGAATAATTATCATTTGAAAAGTCAAATAATTATTATGATAGGTATTAGCATAACAGACTTAAGCCACCATGAATTCAGTTAGTCTTTGGTTTGACAACATTTCTCTCTGATGCACTTTCTAGTATTCAATCAGATGTACATATTTATTGTTAGCAGAATAAAGAGTTAAGTTCTCCTTCAGTTGGTTCATCCACTAGTAGCAGTAAATTCATTTAGGGCCCTTTTAGAGAGTTGGACAGTGACAGTCCAAGTCATTGAATTTTGAAGAGAGATAATTTTTTAAAAATAAATAACCTTAAATTTTACCTTACTAGGATCCAGTATATTAATTTCATTTATTTCTTTATTTGTTTCACTGGGTGTTTAGTGTATGTCTTAGTTAGGGTTTTACTGCTGTCAACAGACATCATGACCAAGGCAACTCTTATAAGGACACCGTTTAACTGGGACTGGCTTACAGGTTCAGAGGTTCAGTCCATTATTATCAAGGCAGGAACATGGCAGCATCCAGGTAGACATGGGGCTGGAGGAGCTGAGAGTTACACCTCTTGTTCCAAAGGCAGCTAGGAGAGGACTGGCTTCAGACAGCTAGGACGAGAGTCTTAAAGCCCATGCTCACAGTGACACACTTCTTCCAACAAGGCCACACCTACTCCAACAAAGCCACACTTCCAAATAGTGCCACTCCCTGGGCCAAGCATAGTCAAACCACCACCATTGGTTGATTTTTCTGTTACTGTGATAGAATGTTTGAATAGGAAGCACAGTCAAGGACAAGACAGTTTATTCCAAAGGTATGTTCTAGAGGGTATGTATCATGTCACATAACACAAAGCAGCACTGAGTGAGACAGGCTTGGGAATCAGAAAGCAGACTGATCACATTCTGTCCACACAGAGAGACTAACAAGATGGCCAGGCTATAAAACCTCAAGGCCTGCCCCATACTGACCTACTTGCTCCAGCCAGGTTCCACTTCATACAAGTGTCAAGACCTTTTCAAACAGGGCCACCAGCCGGGAACCAAATGTTCAAATAAAGGAGTCCCTGGGGAACACTTCTCATTCCCACGGCTAGTTATTAGTTACCTGTTACAGTTTCAGTGCTGAGGACTGAAGCCAGGGCCTTGCTCATGCCAGACAAACAGTTGACCACTGAGCTACATCCCCAGCCCAGATTCTGTAACTCTGTGTACCAAGTTAAATATATATTATCAAATAAAATACAGAGAAAATGTTTCTATTTCCTCCTGGAAGCTGCCCTTTTGTGTTGAAAGCCACAAACATGGCCTACCATTGATATACATTTTTATTCTCCAGAAATTAGTCCAAAAAAGCATTACACAAAGCCTAATGTTCACTGTGTCTTATTTCTAATAGAAAATACAATAAGCTGATAATAGAAAATATAATAAGGCAAAATACTAAAGCTGTCTAGAAATTCACCAGAAGAAAAATGTAAATATTTTCCCATTTAGTGGAATATTGACCATTGCATATCATGTTTTAAAAACTAGTTTCATTGGAAATTAGTAATATCATAATAAAATATAAAAACAGGACCAAAACATACCAAATATGATTTGACCCAATATTTAAAAGTGTCTGTGGCAAAACAAAACAAAACAAAACAAGACAGGATGGAAATACTTCAAGCATCAGTAGTATTTTGCCCTTAGTTATAGCCTCCTGAATAGTTTTATGGTCTTTTGTTGTAAAATTTTCTAGCGTGGCTCTGTATTTATCTAGTGTGGTGATCTTTATTTGTGTGGAGTGGTGCCAAGGACAACTTTGCAGCTATGCCCCTGACCTAAGATGATCTTTATGCTGAGAAGGGTCAGAAGTAGGGAGGAATGATGCCGATCGGGGCTGGAGTTACATATTATCCATCGTTATAAACACCTGCCATGGATACAGGAACGGAACTCCAGTCCTCTGGAAGAGCAGCAAGTGCTCTGAACTGCTGAGCCAGCTCTCCAGCACCCTTGACTAGCTCTTCTGAGTCGCTCTTCTTCAGTAGCTTTGGGAAGTTTACATTTCTCCCTGACCTTTCTCCCTTAAGCCCTCATCTGAGCCTTTCAGAACAGCAGGTTTGGTTTCTCTCATCTGTTCAGGGAATATTTTCAAGTTGCATCTGGAAAGTTGGAACACAGGAAAATGAGTCCCCCTCGCTTTCCTCTAAGGAGAGCTGTGACAGAGCCCTCAGAGCCCACAGCACAGGGACATGACAGGGGAGTGTATGGCATTCCTGTCCATCAGAGTGACTGTCCCTCTTTCTTCCTCTTCTTTTGACTCAGCCTCTTGATGATCCTGAGACTTGTCCTGCTGCTGCTTTAGCACCTAGAGAAGCCCAGAGCCAAACTCCCATCATGCTCCTGTGCCTGGCAGTGCAGCTTCCTGCATTGAAGTGATCAATTTAAATATAGGAGAAATGTCTTATATTGAAATAAAAATAATGTCACCCTAATATTTAAAAATAATTGGCAATATATATTTGTTCTCTCCCAATGCCTTTTTATTTAACGCACAAATTTTAGATCTTTCTATTTGTTAATCCTGGTCTTTAATGAATTGTTACATGCTCATTTCCTTTGTCTCATTTTATATCTGGAAATTGAGGTTTGCTATTTTCTGCTTTTGACAATCCCAAACACTATGACTAGAATAAGTTCAATAAGTTTGAGTCAACTGCAACCTTTCAGACAATGGGATTCCTGGAGTGGACCGCAGGGAGTGTTAATGAGTTCTGTGTCACTTTGTACATTAGGAGTTTTGTTTGTATTGTTGGAGGTGAGGTGTGTTTTCATAGATGAAATTCTGTTCTCAGCACATCAGCGTCGTGACAGAATGTACTCGGTGTTCAAATAAAATGCATCTTATTCTAAGCCTTCTCATTCACGTCTGTGTCTTTTCTAGGAACTCAATTACTCATTCATTTTGGCTTTAACATGTTCATTATTAGTGGAAATGATGTCAAGGGAATGTTGTTTACGTCAGATCTTCATACTTCTCAGGGGCATCTCCCTGTCTCCCAAGCCCCAGTAAGATCACCACTCCATTTGAAGACCAGTTACAACTTGTAATGTCCAAGGCAGTTTAGGGAGCAGATGGACCATCTGGTTATTCCTGCATATTTTCCACTGTCAGCTATGGTCTCTGGGAAATCTGTCTCTTGAAAACTCAGTTTCTCTTCCCTATGAGGGGAGGGGTGTTAATGGCTAGCTTATCCTCCCGGACACTAGACTCACAGTTTCAGTTCTTCAGTGTGGCCTTTGATGACATGGAAAGGGGAGGAGAGCTCCAGCTGCTGGCCTGAGAGGCAGGAGTACTTACTCTGCTTGTAAGTCCAAGCAGGATGTTAACCTTTCAGCCATGAGGGATTGAGGGAGAGAGAAAGTAAACCTATTAGTTAAACCAAATAAGAAACCATGCAAACTTCTTTAGTGTGCTTTCAATGATCCCCTTTTAAAGAGGACAGACAAATTCCCATGATTCCAGCAGTGGCAGGCACATGGCGTCCACCAGCCAGGCTGGAAATGACAGGTGGTTTGCTTCCTTGACAACAGGTAAGGTTGACAAGGGCTTCTGTTCACAATGTAACTGACACTGAAACCAGGATGAGTTGTGCGATTGATTATAGAAACACTTGTATCTGTAAGATGCTCCAGGAATGGAGACTTTTACAAGCTCTTCGAAGCTATGCTTCATCCTGGACTTTTACCAAAAGGCAGTGAAAGTGCATGATCATGGGGTGTGTGTGCGTGTGTGTGTGTGTCTGTGTGTGTTATTGTTGAGTTTTGGTTTTTAACCTTTGAGGCTAAGCAAGATGGTTCAGCAGGTAAGGTTGCTTGCTGCTAGACATGATGACCTGAGTTCAATCCCCAGACCTACAGGGTATGAGGAGAGGTTTCCTCTGATCTCCACACATGTACCACAGCAAACAGGTATACACAATCACACACATACACATATTTATACGAACACAATCACATATGTGCACACCCACAAAGAAATGTGATGAAAACTCATGACATTCAATTATTCCATGTGAGTTTTTTCTAGCACTGTACAGAATGCAGAGAATCCTGCTTGGTGTTTCTGGACTCACTCTTGGAAGTGTGTCTCATTTGGAACTGGAGTTGCCTCTTCTAGTATATCAATAGGTTTCTAGCAGCTTAATTCCTTACACATTTGTTATTTATTTACTAACATACTTCTCCATGCCTTCTTCCAAAACACTACACCATGCAGTTCCACATTTCAAAATGTAGACTCTTAAGATATGGTCATACGTTTTTGATTTTAGAGATTCCTTCTGGTTATGTAGAAGTATATTTTATCAAAGAAAAGCATGCGTTTGCAAACATGTTCTAAAAGCAGTTGCAGTTTCCTACACTGGGCTGCCACAAGACTGGGTCTGTCAACAGCACAGCCTGGGTGAGAGTGGGGCTCAGTTGTTAGGAAAGGGTGGAAGCTGGGGAAGGGGCAGCATTCGTCTTCAGTTGTGTATAAAACCCATAAAGGTGAACATAGCAGGATCCAATGGACAGCTCTAACCCTGTGGCCACACTGCTGGCTGAAATTGGTGGATCACAAAACAAAACAAATCAAACAGCGTGAATATGGAAATAGACTTGGAGAGAGGAGGGGCTGGGCAGACAGTGGGGTGACCGGGATCAGAGCAAGCGCAATGCACGATTCACATGTATAAAATTCTCAAAGAATGAAGTAAATTGATAAAAAAAAAAAAAAGGAATTGGACATTCATTAAAAAATGATAGCTCTGCCGCAAATCTAAGTTTGTAAGCAAATTTCTGGATGTTTTCTAAGCACTCTGTACTTTTGTAACAACTATGTAAAAGGGTGGGAAATTATGTAACCATTTCTAGCTGAGTCCAGTTAGCCCCTTGTGTTTCTCTTCAAGTCACAAGTGTCTCAGAGTCATTGGCTTTCATTGTCAGGTTCTTTGCTGTGTCCTTCTTTCCACACTGCTGAGACAGAGCATCGATCAGATTCCCTTGACTGGAATTAAAGAACATGTTTCTATCTGTTATGAAGCCCTTCCCAGCAGTCCACGTGCACACGCACTCACATGCCTGACACATGTAACACTAAAGTACGGTTTACAAAAAATCCAGCAAAGCTTAGTTGTGTAAAGGCTTGAAAGATGGGCTGGGAAGAGCATCCCCATGTTGTTACAATATATTAAGTTCTGGGGAATCTAACATCATCTTCTGGTCTCCTGGGCACCAGGCTCACCTATGGGTATACAGACCTACATACAGGAGACTCATACACATAGAATAAAAAAATTTAAAAACTAGCTTTGTAGATCTTCCTGTCTCTGATTGTAGTGTATGTAAGACATCAGTCTGAAGCACAAAGATCAGAATGCTCTGGCCCCTGGCACAGGCAGTGTGTATTGTCAACAGAGAAAGGAAGCCACTCAGAGCAAGCAGAGGACAGGAGAGGACCTTCCATTACAAGGGAGCTGTGTTTTGCTTTTGCTTTAAGCTATGTGGCTGGAGGTTGTCTCCAAGGGTAAGGTGCAATCACATTCTACATCAAGGGTGACTTCAGCTTTCCGAGTATGGACAGTTCTTTAAACAAACCAAGTTCTGTGAACGCATATGGCACCTAGCCTGTGGGGAGGAGAGTTGCTTCTGCATACTGAGTGTAGATGAAGAACAGAGATGAGATGCCTGCCCTCAGCCTCTCCTGGTCTCGTTTTCTATTGATCCAGCAAGCTCTGTATTCACCTTCTCTCTGATCATGACCAGGGCTTTGGACTCCGACCCTCTCCTAGGATCACACTGAATATTTATTTATTATAATAGCTTAGTGAGATCCATATCACAGTAGGTAATAAAACCTAGAATGCTGGCAAATTTGTGAGACTGACCAGTGTATGACTGATATTTAGCAAATGTTCTCTTCATTCCATTCATCCACACTGCTAATAAGTACGTGAATGCAAGAACTTCCCCCTTTTCCCAAACAATAAAGCAAAATACAACTTCCAGGAGCAGCACACAGATTTCCTGCACGAGAAGGGAATTAGCAACTAGGCTTGGAATCTGAAACTCTGAAATGCATTGAACCCACTCTGTGGTGTACTGTGACTCCAGTGTGGCTTAACAGCCAAGGAGATGCAGAGCGGATGCTGTCTCATCATCCTCATCCCTGCCACCAGTGATAGGCTCTGGTTCCCAGGGACTTGGCCTCTGTGACTCCCAAATCTGCCTTGTTTTACTGCTGCCCACTGGGCATGAATTTTATGTCCATAGATAGCCAGTCTGTAAGAGTAGACTTTGCATCTTGCCTCTCTTTCCATGGTTCCATTAGCTATAAGATGGAGGTAGCAACAAATATGGCCCTGTATCTGATAACATTTCAACCCATGATGAGCCTCATGACTGACAGTGGTTCTGTATAATTGGAGTGGAAATAAAGGCTTTCGATGAGCTAATATAACACAGCCATTGTAAGTCGAAATACAACACATTAGGCACAGATTTGTGGTAATCTAGGTGTGAATAGATCCACCAAGCTTTCTATATAAATATAGAGTGTGCAGTCTTGTACTAGCCCGAACACATTTAATCTTATAGATTTGTTTTGAACTTTGAACTATGAGTTGTTTTGCCTCCTTGGATGTCTGAATGCCACCCCTGTGGTTGGTGCTCACAGAGGCCACAAGAGGATATCAGATCTGTGGAACTGGAGCTCCAGTCATGAATTGTCATATGGTGTTGGGCACTGAATCTGTGTCTTCTACAAGAGCAACTAATGTTCTTAACAGCTGAGCTATCTCTCCAGTCCTCCAAATGATTTTGTAAAAGATTGATTTTTAAAAATTATGATAATATGTCTAAATTGTGTGTCTCTTCATATCTTTCTGTGTATGGCTGTGTATATGTGAGTGCCGGAGCCTGCAGGGATCTGAGCTGTCAGATGCTTCTGGAACTGGAATCATAGGAGGTTTATCCACAGTGTAAATGTGATATACACCACTCTGTCATCATCGCTCAAAAGTGTGTAATGTGTTGTGAATTTCACCTTAAAGAAAAATCCCAGAAAGAAAATATTAAGTTATGAAGACCTAAAAAAAAAAGAACAGTGTTATATAAATGAAAAGAATAACATGTATGTTATCTATCCATATTTATGTAGAAGACATTCCTTTAGGTTATTACAGGGAAGGAGAGTGGATGAGAACACAGATTCTTTCTGGACCTCACACCTTCATCTCAAGTCTGCCTTGGTCTTGCACTCAGTATCCATCCCCTGTCTATCTCTCAGCCCAGGCTGTTACAGTGAGATACACCACTGTTCTCTGCACAGAGCCTCTATGCAGATTCCTTCCCCCTCCTCAGCCCCCCCCCCCAGCTTTATCTGTGGGAATTGGCCATGGTGGCTGTGGTCAAACTGTATTTATTCCTATCTCACTTCTGTGTACATAGTTTCATCTTATTTGTGTTTTCATTTTCTCTACTTAGATATCCCTGTGAGTTGTCATCTGACACACTGTCATCCCTTAGATGGTATAAGACCAAAAGAGTAAGAACATAATGTATAGCTGGGTGTTGGTGGTGCACGCCTTTTATCTCAGCACTCAGGAAGTAGAGGCAGGTGGATCTCTGTGAGTTTAAGGCCAGCATGGTCCACAGAGCTAGTTCCAGGACCACTAGGGCTACCCAGAGAAACCCTGTCTCAGAAAAATAAGAGTCTAATGTCATAACACAGAAACAAGAATGACTAGAAATTAATGTCTTTAAAGTATCTTTGTGGCTACTGGAGAGATGGTTCAGTGTGAGAGCACTGGATGCTCTTTCAGAAGACCTAAGTTTGATTCCCAACACCCACGTGGCAGTTCACAACCATC